CTCCTAAACCAAAACAGATCAGAATTCGACACTTACAAAATGTACATGTATCAGACATATGCCAGACCATATCAATTTAGACTATATCAGGCTAAAACAGACCAAACCAGACCATAAAATTTCAGTCCTATTAAAAACATCCTTAAACCCTTCTCCTTTATAAATTAAGGAGCCGAAGGTTTTCCTATAATATTACTCCAATGAAACATATGAATACAAAATATGACTAAATATACTATGCACGTAATTTCATGGTCACTATATATAGTGTAAAAATAAATATAATCATAATAAATAAAGATCGAGAAAATTGCTCCGCGTAGGACCAAATCATAGACAATTTTCAAAACTAGGACTCAGTTATATTTTTTCAATGCGTAGGACTTATCTAGTTCTCTTTTAGGAAAGATTATTATTGCCTTCCAATTTTACCCTTGAGGATGAAAGTTGGCCTGGGTCGTGAAAGTTTTAAAAGAGGAGAGCGAGTTCCGCCGTGGAGCTTTAAAGCTTCCGGATCGGATGGATTCGTGGCTATGGAAAAAAGCTTGGACTTGTATTTCTCCTTAGGACTCCAGATTTTAGACAAAAACTTCCCCAACTTCTTCATCTCTCCAACTTCATCCCATCCTCTACCCTACAAGTATTCTAAGTTTGTTTTAGCATCGCTCATCGGCGACTCAGGGCTGTTACCATTGGCTCAATCATCTTTCCGATTCTGAGAATTTCCGAACCGTTTGATTTACATCTCTGGCGTTCCTCCCAATTTCACGGTCAAGTTCAACATCCTCCCAGTTTTATGTTTGCTCTGCTATTGAGCTATTATCAGAATTTATTGTCTGTTTAGTTACTACTTATTGTCTATGTATTGTCTGCTATTGAGATATTATCAGAACTTATTGTCTGTTTAGTGACTCTTTATTGTCTATGTATTGTCAAGTGTTTGCAAATTTCCAACGAACAGTGTCATTTATCCAGTGATCGACTGTTGCCTCTGTGATTTCTGCATTTTTCTCCTCTGACCTGTTCTTTCTCTTCATCATTTCGAACTCATGGTCAGATTGCTTTTGTTTGACTTGTCATGTATTTTCAATATTCTTCTTCTCTGTTTTTTCTTTAATAGTTTTCTTTGTAGTTGGCTTGCTTGTTGTCGTCCTTAACCATTGTGATTTCGAACCTCTCACAAACAATTTCATTCTACCGTCTGCGTTTTTTCAGATCTATTGAGCGAATCTGGTTTCTCCACCGTTTGCCATAGTTTACTGTTCACAACCGATGGGTTTCTTAGTATTATTCTAGTGGTCTACTATCTTATTTTAAAATAAGGGTATTAGAGTCAAAATCATTGCAGTTGAGTCCTACGCCGGTTTCTAATCCCAATTTTGGAAAGTTGATGCGTTTATGTCTTATTTGCATAAAATCCCCATAAATAAAAGTTACTAATACGATCTCATCGTGTAAGAAGTCACATATGTGTATTCTCTTTACTTTAGTTATATATATGTCATTGTTTCCTAAACTTTTGACTATGCCCATACGAGTCCTATAACTTTATTCACTTGAAGATTCGTTCTTGTAATTAATAAATTAAATATGCACAACTTTTTTACTCGAAAATAAAATTTTTGAAAAGTGATTACCGGCATCAAATTTTCCCCATGAAAAGTGCTTTCCGATAGAAAAAACCATTAGTGTGGATTACCTACATGACTAGGTTTGCAAGTGAGTTAAGTTAGAGGTCTAGTCATAGCCCTCATAGGGACATACACAAGTTATGTGCATGATTAAACCTACCATTCAACATTTATATTCTACCTTTGATCTCTAACAATTTTTGGGCACAATAGTATTCCAAATACAGATAAATTTGACATTTGTTTATCTATTTGTGTTTTTGAGAATGTAGGACGACTTTCTTCGGAGAATATAAGAATACTGGACCAGGATCTAATATGAAGATGAGACCCAAGTTTGTACGGAGGTTGACTGATCCAGAAGTTAGACCTTACCTCACACTTGGTTTCGTAGAAGCATCTAAGTGGCTCCTTCCCCCAACTAAAGTTTGAAGTGTTGGACGTATATGCATGTTTGACCATCCATTTGACACGTATAGTACATGCTTTATTATTTGGCAAATTATACCGTGCAACCGGCATATCATGCACATGGTATGCCGGTTCTAATACGATGCCGTTTTTAATAGCAAACTCAACATGTAGCGGCGTAGCGCACTGCGCACACTCACACTTCCACTGCCTCATTTCTTTCTTTTTTCTTCTTTCTCGTTAATTACTTTTAATTTTCTTTATCAAAAGCCATAATGCTCTCTATTATCTCATCTATACTCGCACACACCACTAATTGTTGTTCCACCATCATTATCAAGAGCAATCATGTTTCCATTTTTTTTTAATTTAGGAACAATGATGCATACCCTATGTATTACAATTTTGAGATTAAATTTTCATTCTTTCAAAAGAAATTAATTAATATTTATTTTTTTGCTAGTCCTTATTCATATACTTTTTTTTCTTTTTAGCTTCAACTTAAATTACAATAAAAAAATTAAATTATTTTTTCTCCAAAATAAATAATTTTATATTTTATACACTTGTGTGATTTATATTTCAACATGTGTGAGTTGTGTTTATAGACAATTTTAGGAATTACATTTGATAGTATATGAAGTTACATCTTCTTATGCGCGAGTTACATCTGTTTATACGTGAGTTACATCTTAATGCACGCGAGTTACACCATGAAATAAACCCTGCTAATGATCAAAACAATGATTTTTTTAACTATATCATTTTTTATAACCCTAATATTAAAAAACATATTCACTATTTACAAAAAGTAAATGGGCAATTTGGATCAATTTTTAATTGTTTACATTGAAATCAATGTTGATAATATACACAAACATTTTTTTTCTTTTCTTATATGTATGTATGTATATATAAGATGTTTACATTTCAACTTTTTCAGAATTACATTTTAATGTACGCGGGTTACATCTTAATGTACGCGAGTTACATCACTAAATAGATCATGCTAATGATCAAAAAAATATTTTTAACTAAATCAATTTTTTTAGCCTTTATATTAAAAATTCAAAACATATTCACTATTTATAAAAAGTAATTGGGCAATTAGGATCAATTTTTCATTGTTTACATTGAAATCAATGTGTTTTCCCTTACATTCCGTTTTTCACAACTTACATATCAACTTGTCTCAAGTTACATTTCCTATCAACGTGAGTTACATTTTTGTAAACGAGAGTTACATCACCCTGCTACTGAAACACAAAAAAAGTTACTGTTCATCCGCGGGTACTGTTCATCCGCGTTTTGTCCCTGGGAGCATGATGCTCATTGTGCGCCGGTACCACGGTATACAAACTGGTATTATTTACCCTTATTGAGTCGTGGTTCACTTTATTTATTTGATAGAGTATATGGGCCTAGCTAGATTCTATGACCCACATACTCAGAATACTAATACGAAACCAACTGACATATGGCTGGTCCTCCATCGACTGACACACGGTCCACACAAAGCAACTCAAAAACCCAGATACTAAAGACGAGCGCCAAAAAGCACTTGGGACCCCTCCACTGGACCCTCCATCGGCTAGGCCCTCCCTCGGCATGGTCTCTCTTCGGTCAAAACGCCTCTGGTGGACTACATTTAATACTTAGCTCTAAATATCGTGTAATTAGCCATAAATGCCTTATATTGGATTGGGCCTCCCAGACCCAAGACTTGGGAGTCCAACCCACATTTCCTCTATAAATACTCCCTTTGGAGGTAATTGTAGCGCGTTGAGAAATATTAATTACAAGCACTTTCTCTCTCTAGCTCTCACTTCTCTCTAGATCTATACTCTATCATTTATTTGGTGCTCTCATTGAGAGCTAGAACAATCAAGTTAGTACCCTTCGCCACTACTGGAAAGACAAACTAAATTTATAATTTTAAGGACAAAAAATAAATACATTCTATTTTATGTGACATATATATCTCGTATGCACACATTAAAGAATATTATTTCTAAGATAATATTTATATTAATCAGTTATTGTGTTTGATGATTATAAAAACCTTTCAAAATAGTATTTTATTTTAATTTAGTCCATTGATTATATATAACACAAATGTCTTATTTATAATAATAATAATAATAATTTAATGATATGTATGATTTGTAGTCCGGCCTTATCCTAACCTTATGCAAAATATATGGGCAAAATTAATAGTTAATAAATAAGTTTAGTGGTAGCAATACAAAATTTTGCTAACTAAAACGTGAGCAGCTGGATTGCTTTGATAAACAAATTAAAAAGTTCTAGGGAATAAAAGTATTTGGTACAATAATATTAGACGGGTAAGATTGGCCGTATAATAATTGGAATAGAATTAGGCGCACGGAGCATGCAAGAGCTATTGAACGTATTGGACAAAGTTTTGATATACTACGAAAATTAATTAGTGCTGTTTCAATGCATTCTGTAGAAGTAGTAGTATTTGTTGTATATATACACTAATCAGTAATCAGTCAGTTTTTAGGAGTATATACACACACACCTATAGGCATTTTTTTTAAAGTCCGTGAGGTCCTGAGACCCCGTGAGACACAAGGTGGATCCGTCACTGCTTAAATAACATTATGGTTCTTAATTCCAGTCCCAATGTTATAGACTGACATAGAGGTGGTCAGGTGGGGACCGACGACCGTCCCTACCTCTACTCTAAATTAGAGTTCATTATTTTATTAGAACCAGAATAACCAAAGTAAATCTTGACTGATCTAGTGATCTATGCAAACTAATAAAGCGATTTGTTTATTTTCACCAATATAATGTATTAATCATATACTCTGTGTAGCCTTTTCATAATACGGAGTAATACCCATGGCCTAGTAAATGCATTCCTAAATCAACGTCTTATCCCCCGCCGCACTTTGAGTTGTCCACTCATTACATCTGAACTATAGACCGAACTGTTCCATGCATGCATATATCCATACCATCACATTCAAAATACATGAACATGACATTTCATGCAATGGAGAAAATATCAATCCCTACATCAATTCTTCTTCTTCTTCCCCCTCTCCTACTGTGCCCGACCAGTGTCGTCTCAGACGACAACGTCCCGATCCCTCCGACTAAGGATCAAGTGAACACTTGGTTCACCGCCAACGTCCAGCCCCTCACATCTAGAAAGGACCTCGATCCCGACCTTGCCAAGGCCGAGGCCAACGTCTCTCATATTAAGGTCAGTAGCGACGGAAAAGGGGATTTCAAGACCATTTCTGATGCCATTAATAGCGTTCCCGCCGGAAACACACAACGATTCGTCATTTCGTTGGCTGGCGGGACGTACAAGGAGAGAGTGAAGATCGAAAGGAACAAGCCATTCATCACCTTGTACGGTGATCCAAGTAATCGGGCCACCATAGTCTTCGATAGCACCGCGGCTAAAGATGGCACCGTGTACAGTGCCACTTTGTACGTTTTATCGGATTACTTCAGCGCAGTTAATATTGACTTTGTGGTGCGTAAATTATACATCTATGTAATCTTATTGAGAAGTTGATCTTCACTATGAGTGTAGTAGGCTAGTCAAAGCATAGACCAATTCAACTTAATTTTTATTAGAAATTTTAGTGTAATTTTTTCCCTAATTTTTTTCCTATTTACTCAACCCACTTTAATCATAGTAAACTTATAATTTAGCCCAATTCAACCCAAAGTTTTAAGCCTTCCATTAATATTAACAGTAGTTAACTAGATATAAAAGAATAAATAATTCGTGAAAAATACGTAGTAACTAACTAAGCTAATTTACCTCAAAGTCATGTTGTACGTGCGTTAGCTACATATAAAGTATTACATCTTCCTAGCTAAAAAGCCTAAAAGGATGACCCAAACTAACCTCAACTAAATCTCGTTTAGGAATAACACCTTTAGGGTTAAGTTTGGGTAAAGATTTATAATACTAATACTAATAACTAATAAAGTAATAAGCTTAATGCGAATTCACGGGATAAACTGAAAAAGTTTACACTAATTTTTTAAGATAGATTTTACTGGGTTTAGTTTCAACCTACTAGAGCTAATAATGTAGAACTAGTTATATGTGACTATCTTTCAATTTTTTTTACATAGAACTACTTTTTTTTTCCTTATGTGTATATATAGAGATAGTGGGAGATTGGGACACAGATGATTTCCGATTAGAGGAACAATAGCATAAATAATAGAGAAATTTTGACTTTACACCTTAATATTTGACTTTACAACCAATTTTTAAAATCATTAATACATGCACCCATTTCATTATAAAATTATTTGACTTTACACCTCACTCCTTCACAATTTTCGGATTGATTGGTGCAAATATTAAACATTTTGAAAACATGATGCAAAGTCCAATATAACAAAAAATGAGGTGCAAAATCAAATTCCAAAAAAATAATACGGACTACATATTAATGCAAACTTGCATTTACTAAAAAATTTGAAGTAGCTATGCAAACATGTAATACGGACTACATATTAATACAATTTCAGTTTTCTAAATAACCACACCAATCCCTCTTCTCTCAAACTTAATAGGACAAAGGTAGTACAATATTTAATCCGGTCAGACCATTTATGTTTTTGGTTAAAAGTGAATTTAATGATTTTTTCATGAGTATTGGTTTATTATTTTTAGTACATGTAATAATGTATGTATATTACTTATGTAGAATTCGGCTCCGAGGCCAGATGGGAAAAAACCAAATCAACAAGCAGTGGCCGTAACCCAGAGTGGTGACAAGGCCTCCTATTACAACTGTAAAATGAAAGGATTTCAGGACACATTTTGTGACGATGCTGGAAAACACTTCTTCAAAGATTGCTATATTGAAGGAACGATTGATTTCATATTTGGCAATGGCAAGTCTCTATATGTGGTATGAAACCAAAATTTACCAATCTCTTTTTTTACGCCTTTTCATACAATTGGGAAATTAAAATAATGATTGAAAAGGGGAATGGATGACCGTCACATTAGTAGTAAAACTAGTAATTATACGATGTTTTTTCTTAAATATTACCGAATTATAACTCATGAATAAGAATATATTATAGTTACTATACATAGTCACTATAGTCACTGTAGTTTAAAGTTGAATACAATCATGATCACTAAAATTACTATGATAGTCACTAAATTATATTTTTGTCAATTACATTTACTTCAGTTATAGATTTGGCATTATTTCTAGTAATATTGATGTCAAAATTGATCAGTACGTGGTGTTTGACTTTAAAATTGATCAGTACGTAGTCAATATTGATGGCATTAATACACATATTTTTTTTAAGATCTCTCACGTGTGGTTTTAACTCCAGCTTCACATGTTTTGATTTTTTATTCCAAACAATACTAGGTGACAAGGATAGATCAGATAAAGAGAAAACTAAAAATCATAAAGAGAATAGATCAGATAAAAATGATAAGATAAGGATAAAAAGATAAGATAGAAAAATACTTAATTGTTAATTAATCCGATTAGACTTTTTTATTTTATGAAAAGATGATATAAGACTCTTTTTATAATTATGTGAATACTACTTCGAAAAATTGAAATATTATTAATAAATAATAATCCGTTTTAAACATTTTTTTTAAAGAAATATGGTTGGCCAATGACCTGGTTCTTGATGAAATTTTTTGAGCATGTTCTTCATGAAGTCTAGTTTATCCATACGAAATTTTAGCTAAATATTCAATCGGGAAGGCACTCAAATAATTTCTTGAAGTTAACTGGGCAGTTTATATGTATGAACTACCCAGTTAACTTCAAGAAATTATTTGAATGCCTTCCCGATTGAATTTGTTGCAGAAATTTGGTATGGATAAACTAGACTTCATGAAGAACATGCTAAAAAAGTTTCATCAAAAAATTACACCGGGAAGTGCCCGAAATGCCCTCGGCCGGATGGAGCACCCCATCGATATCAGGCTGGCCTGACATGAAGACTACTCTTTATATGTATATATTTTATATGTATATATATACTAATTTAATTATTTATTAATTACATGTACATGTGTATATTCATATTTACAAATTTGTATTTAATTTATACATATTTATAGTTTATTATGTTTAAATTTATGTTTTAGTTTTTAACAACTTGCCCAACCAATATAATATTTATTTTTGTACTTAAAGATAATACATCGTGCTTGAATTTTAAAGTTTTAGTTAGAGTTTCTCATGATTGTTTTTGTGTAAGTATTTTTTGTATATGTGGTGAGAGGTCTATAAACATTACCAGCGTATTAACAATTCTTTAAATGTTATAATATTATTTTAAAATTATTAAAAAAATTGTATTATTTTGAAAATTTTAAAATTTTCGTGGGCCGGGCGGCTCGGTGGACTACTCGTCTCGTTATTATGGGCGGTATAGACATTTAGGCCCATTTTGCGGGCTGACCCGGGATTTCCCACACATAGGGGTGGACTCGGGCCGGGCGGCCCGGCCCGGAACCGGCCCGGCCCAGCCACTGTTTGAACCGGCCCGAACCGCCGGCCTGGTCAGGGACCGGTCTGGGTAGGCCCGACCCGCTGGGGCTCCGGGCCGGGCTCGGGCCCTTGAAAAGGTGAACCGGCCCGGCTAGTTCGGGCCCGGTCTGGGCCTATTTATTTTTTCTTTTCTTTTTTTTTGAATTTTTTTTTTAAGTTTTTGGGTTGGCCTGGGTATTTTGGGCCATTTGAGGTGGTTTGGGGGTGAGGGGGGAGGATTGGGGGTTAATTAGGAAAAGCCAAAAAAAAAGTTGAACCGAGGCCCGGCCCGGCCCAAACCGGACCCGGGGGTTACCCGGGCCGGTTCCGGGCCTCCCCTTTCATGAACCGAGGCCTGGCCGGGCCCGAACCGGCCCGAGTCCACCCCTACCCACACATAATGGGCAAAAATTTATAAAAAGCCCGTCTTGAACCCGTTTTTGTGCAGGTAGGGACTTCCTACCTTCAGACTTTAAAAATATACTACTATGTACTCCCCCCGTTCCTAAATAAACCTCCACATTTTCTTTTTCACCCATCCCAATTAAACTTCTACTTTCCCTTTTTTGCTAAAGAATTTGTGATTCATAACATTTTCTACACATTTATCACTCATCTGCCCAATTCTCCACCACACAATCCTCACGATATATCTTAATCCCCGAGCCATTTGTACTATGGAAGTTTTATTAGTGATAGAGGGAGTACTATATTTAATAAGTGAAGGCAGCGTTGGCACATGCATCTACGTCTTTGTTGTCATGTGACTGAGAGGTCACGAGTTTAAGTCTTGAGAGTGGCCGACCTCTAGTCAAAATGACACTAGACGACTTGCTCTTTATACATTTTTGGGGTGGAACACTTTCTTGAACCCTCGCCTTGCGAGAATGTCAATGTGCACCAGACCGCACTTTTACTATTTTTGAGTTTGTCATTTTCGTCGGTTAAGTATATCTCTCATCTAATAGGGAGATTTGCAATTTTATTCCTATAACTATCAACTGTTATCGTTATTGGTCCTGTAAGTTTAATCACTTGCAACTTTGGTCCTGTAACTAATACATCTTTTCAATTTAAAGACTTTTCCCCCGGAAAGCTAGTAGATTTCCAGTACACTTTTTGGCAGAAAAATCCGACGTCGACGACATCTTTTCCATTATTCTATCTTCGGAAAGTGTACTTTTCAGGGGGAAAAGTCCCTAAATTACTACGGAGTAATATTTATTAGTTGCAGGACCGAGTTTGTAAGTGACTAAAATTACATAATTAATAATGAAAATGACCAAAGTTACGGGGCCAAAACTTCTCCATCAAATATTGCAATTCCGAACAAGAAAGCAAATTCATTCCATCATATGCCCGAAAACCAGTTTAACAAATCCATAAAGATTTTAGGATTATCAAAGTTGGGTTGTTAAAATTTAAAACCACTAATAATTTATTGAACCAGCACATTTTTTTTGTATGAATCTGACTTATATTTAGCTTTAAAATCTGTGTTTTTGTTGGGTGGTAGAACACAGAGTTGCATGTTATAGAAGGGGACAATATGGCTGTGATAACAGCACAAGCTAGGCACACCAATGCTGAGGACACTGCGTACTCTTTCGCACATTGCACAATTACAGGGAAAGGGACCGGAGGGTTGCTTGGGAGAGGATGGATGCCTTTCTCAAGGGTTATCATTTCATATACTGAAATCGGCAATTGCATCAAACCAGAGGGGTGGATGGGTATGCGTGGAAATCCTACTGATGGAGGGTAAGTCAGTTCTTGTTAATGAATTTGTATTGGCCACAATTGTTGTTTTAGGATGTTTATACTTACACTGATGGAGGGTAAGTCAGTTGTTGTTAATGAATTTGTATTGGCCACAATTATTGTTGTTTTAGGATGTTTATACTTACACTGGATCCACTCCCAAATAAAAAATATCGGAATTCGACGGTTGCAAAAGTGCACATCAATGAGACATATACTAGGCCAGATCAATTCAGACTATATCAAATAATTCAGATTTAAACAAACCTAATCAGACCAAACCAGAAAATTTCAATCATATTAAAAACATCCTTAGTTCCTTCACCTTAATTAATTAAGGAGGTCTTTGTTATAATATTATTCGAATGAAACGTATGAATAGAAATATAAATTAATATACTATGTGCATAATTTTATAGTCACTATAGTATAAAAGTAAATATGACCATAACTAATACTCCCTACATCCCAAAAAGATTGGTCAAATTGACTTTTTTTTATCAATGGTGATCAAGTTTGACCAATGATATTTTTTAATACTCCCTCCGTCCCAAAATGGTTGGCCAAATTTCCTTTTTTGGCCGTCCCAAAAAGGTTGGCCATTTCCATTTAAAGTAATAAATATGTGGCTAAAGTTAATTCTCTCTCCTCTGCACAAATTTCAACCACACAGTTTTTACTTTATTAATCCACGTGCAAGTCAACATTGGCCAACCATTTTGGGACGGAGGGAGTACAAAATTATTGAAAATATGAACATTATAATATTATATGAGCATATTTTTTATTAAAAAATCTTTCATAAAAGTATAAAATTTATAAATTACACACAAATATAATACATAAAATCATTGTCTAAACTTTAACATCATTGACCAAGAAAAGTCAAATTGGTCAATCTTTTTTAGACGGAGCGAGTAAAAGTTACTAATATGGTCTCTTTGTGTAAGAACTCACATACATTTGTGTGTATGCTCTTTATTTTAGTCATATATATGTCATTGTTTCCTACACTTTTGATTAAGCAGGTACCTGTCCTATAACTTTATTCACTTGTAGATTCATTCTTATAACTATAAAAGTTGCACAACGTTTCTACTAGAAAATACGATTTCTTAAAAAACGTATAGCTAGAAAAAGTCATTGGTGATAGCAAATTTTCCACAAGAAAAGTGCTTTCCGATGGAAAAAGTCGCCACGTACCGTAGATTAGCTACGTACATTACTAGGATTGGAAGTGAGTTAAGTTAGAGGTCTAGTAATAGGGACACACATAAGTTACGTGATTAAACCTACAATTCATCATTTATATTCCTACATTTGTAATAACTTTTTGACACAAATAATATTCCAATTTCCAAATATAGATAAATTTGACACTTGTTTATTTGTTTGTGTTTTAATGATTGTAGGACAACTTTCTTTGGAGAATATAAGAACAGTGGACCAGGATCTAATATGAACATGCGGCCAAAGTTTGTAAGGAGGTTGACTGATCCAGAAGTAAGACCATACATCACACTTGGTTTTGTAGAAGCATCTAAGTGGCTCCTTCCCCCAACTAAAGTCTGAAGTGTTGTACGTAACTACGTATATGCATGCATGCTTGACCATCCATTTGCTACGTACATGCTTTATTATTTACAAAGAGGAAGAAATGGTTTACCTGGGTTATTGAGTCGGGGTTCATTTTATTTATTTATTTCTTAACTTCCGGCCTCAAGTAATGGCTCATAATTTTGTAGGAAATGGTTTGCTTGAATGCATATATGCATGCACCTCTACAATTTTCAGTTCCATATTCAATTTTGAGATGCATATATAAGCGTGCATTTAAAAACTACACGGACGGTGCATAGGCAAGAACATATATCGGGTTAGGAAGCTGCGAGTTTGGTTCAAATGAGAACGATGTTTAACGTAAGAACACGTACTCACATTGAAAAAACGTGCTGCACAATGAAGCTCTTTTGTTGAACATTTTAATTTTGGTCAAAGTGTCAAACCAATATTAGATAAACACTATGACATTTTGGTAATTATTATGTCAACGCGAAAAAGTGCGACATATGAGTTTCATTATGCATCACATTGGGATAATGTGGTTTCTCATGTTCTCACGATAAGAGATGTTTAATTTTAATTTACAAAAATGTCACCACATTATTTGCTTTATGTAGTGCACTTTTTCTATTTCACATAATACGTAATTATCAAATCTATCACTACATGTTCTTTCTCATTTCTCTCCACTCATTGTCATTTGATCTAAATCCTGCTTCATTTATGAAATCAATGTATTAAGTACACAACACTTCATAAGTTTAATTAAAATGTTATTAAATCATTGTTGTACTAAAATTTGATAACTATTAAATGCTATATAGAAAAGACACTCATTATACAAAAATAAAGATATAATTAGATCTTTTGAGTAAATATTTGTAAATAATTACTACTATTTGTCAAAGTGGCTCATGCAATTTGAAGTAAGAGTCAGTTCATGCAATTTTGGACGCGATTTCACCACAGATCATTTGAAAACAGTCTCTCTGTTCTTTAGGACATGAGGGGTAAGACTGCGTACATCTGACCCCCCCACCCCCCACCCCACCGTAGGTGGGAGCATTTGCGGCACTGAGGAAATGATAATGATGATAATGATGAATGACTACTATTTGTTAAAAAAATATTTTCAACCATAAAAAATAAAAATATGATGAAATAATTTATTTGAATAACTATTATAGAAATAATAGTGTACAAATACAATACATATAAATAATTATTTTACTAGTGCAAACATATACTTCGTTTTCTATTATTGATGTACAAATTTATTTTCCTTTTTGGTCCCTATTTTTTCGGGTAGCATTTACGGCATAGAGATTTTGTAGCTAGTTAGTAACTTAGTTACCTCATTTTGCATTAGATTTTGTAGCTAGTTAGTAACTTAGTTACCTCATTTTGCATTAGATTTTGTAGCTGGTTAGTAACTTAGTTAGCTCATATTGCATTCTCTAGAGACTAGAATTGTATATAGGGGACTCTTGTGCGGCGATACGGAGCACACGAATTATTCATCTCTTTTCCATTGTTATTCGTATAATCGTATAAACCCTTTCATTATGGTATTAGAGCATGTGATTTGACTCCTATAGTCCTATATACGGAATTGATGATTGACGTTGATAGTGAACCCACAAACGACGGTTGGGCAAAGGGATAAACCGATGAACGGCAGAGTCAATGACCCTTCATCTCCGTATTACTGTGAAATAATGGAATTTTCATTAAGAATGTGAATAAAAACGTTTTGTTATCGTACTTTTGAGTAACTTAAATACATGAGCATTTATTTAGTCATAATTAACTTTAGCTCTGTTAAATCCATTAAGTTCCATTAAGTTAATTGTTTATTCGTGTCTTCATATGAAGACCTTCATGTGAAGACCTTAATTTGTGAACTTGTGAAGTAACAACAAACAAATAGGTAGCACAGAGTCACAGACTAGAGGAAAACTAGGCATGGACCCGGTTCGGGCCGCCCGGCCCGGGACCGGCCCGGCCCGCCACTGTGCGGGCCCGGAACCGGCCCGGTTCTCGGGTCCAGGTCCGGGTCGGGCCTAGGCCCGGTGGGGGGGGGCGGGTCCGGGCTCGGGCCTTGTATTTGGCGAACCGGCCCGGCCGGGCCCGGGCCGAATTGATTTTTTTTAAATTTTTTTTTTCATTTTTTGGGGTTAGCCGGGTTGGGTTTGATGGTTAGGAGGGGTTTGGGGGTGGGTGGGGGGGGTTAGGAAAGCAAAAAAAAAAAAATATGACCGAACCGGAGGCCCGGCCCGGCCCGGCCCGGACCCGGACCGGACCTGATGGCTACCCGGGCCGGTCCCGGGCCTTCCTTCCCAAAAAAAGCCCGGCCAGGCCCGGCCCGGAACCGGAACCGGAACCGGCCCGGGTCCATGATTGGGGAAAACTATTGGGTGAGTTGGAAAAAAAAGAGTGGCCAATCGTTTCTTTTTTATACTAGTATATAAAGGTTTCCAAATTATTACGTAGTATTTATTGAATCTATTCATAAAGTATTGTAGGTACTCTTTTCCTTACAAGGAGGATCCACCCATGAGCATGTCTGGGAAGCACAGCTTTGGCAGCACAATGACTCAATGAGGCAGAGCCATACTACTAAATGCTCAAATTTGTTTTTCCAACTGTACATGTAAAAATTTCATCTTAAGCCAATGACCAAAAAGGAAAAGACCAAACCTAACAGAGTTTCGTAAAGAATGGAAAATGCACCAAAATACATAACATAATGAGAAAAAAGAAATAAAATGAAACTAGCCAAAAAAAAAGGCACTCATCTACAAGTCCTTGAAGCTATTTGCACTAATTGATCAATCAGTCCGACTGCGGTCTCAATTGTATTTTGCAAAACGCACTAATAGGGAGCATCTTAAGCTTAACAGCCATCTCAATCCTCCTCTTCAGATGCTTCTCTGAGCCACTGCAGCATGAATCATTTTATTTTTAGCATAAGGGATTATACAACCAATGAAAGGAATATAAGACATCTACGATTTCTTTTATTGACCTTTGGTTTCAAGTCTACTCTATATACTACTCTTGTTTCCCCCTTTTTATCTTCATTTCTTTAAATTAGATAGAGGCAAAGGTGAGGAAATAAACTAGACAGAGGCAGTATGTAATTAAGACTTTATTATACTCTGTCAAACTTCTTAAAAACTATACTTTGCATGATATTTTCTATGAAACCAATTAAATAAACATGATTGAAGGAGTCTACAGCATGCCATTAATCAAACACCCCTCCCCACTCCCCAGGCATTATAGGAAACCACAGAGGTCGGTGAAGTGATCTTCAACTTAAATTACGCAAAGACCATTTGCATCTTATAGCAAAATAACTGACAAGTCTCCCCATTATGTTTCTTCTTACCTGAATCAGTTTTTCTGCTTGCTTGACATAAAACTTGTCTGATTCATCCGCTTCTTCTCTCTCTGAGGCCCACTTAAGTATAGCTTCTTCTGGAATGATGTCTTGGTCATAAAGAACATGCAATATCTGCACAATGGTGTAATAATAGCATCATAATCTACAGTACGTGAAATCAAAATGCTGAAATGAAGAGGTTTTCTGACAGAGCAAGTCCTTTGCCAATGAATAGATGGAAACTCTTCCAGTAATTTGTTATGTGAATTGAAACCAAAATGACAAGTGTATAGTAACAACTTTAGAAACTCTGGCATGTTAAGAAGGATCATCCCACAAGGAAACGATAAACAAATTCCATTTAATTGTATTTATCCTAATAATTCTCAAATCACATAAATAACAGTGCCTTGCTCAAACGAGCTAAAAGAACAATGTCCAAGCTTACTAATGTGCAGCCAGATAATGAATTGAAAGCTAGATAAAGAAAGATGCAAAGACATGAATCATTTTGTCGGATAGGAGAAAACGATCACATAAGATTTTGAACATCTGAAAGGGTGGTATAACACAATCCTATAAGTCCAGATGAACTCGAAAAGTGATAGAACAAGCCAAAATAAACATGACAACTAGACAGCAACCCACAATACAACTATACAAGGAATGAAATTTACAGTCATAGGCCATATTAGCTCTGATAAACAAATGTGTGAATGCAAGCAAAATCTAAAATCACAATTTTAACAAAATAATTTGAATCTTCAGGATTGGTATGACTTTTTCTAAGTGTGGTTTGATCTGTATCGACTTTGTCAGTCCATTCATAGTTTTCCGTATCAATTTATGCTATTTAAAATTGTCTCAAGATTGCACTTTTACAACAACAACATCCAAGCCTTAGTCCCAAAATAAAAGGAACATCTTAAGCCTAACAGCCATCTCAATCCTCCTCTTCTGTCTCAAGATGGCACTTCTAAATAACAAAAAATAGATTTAACAACACTAAGGACAACCAATGCTAATGGGACATATGACTATTTTTCACTGGATGAGTGCCAAGGTGGTATCCTCACAATGCTTACTTTGACATAATTGAAACTTGGCTAGATTTTTTGTCAACAGAAATTAATAGCTAAATTGACAGTTTTAAAGAGTTGGCTACAATCCAAAAATACTGCAAAGGAACTGCTTTTTTAGTCATAATTGGTCCTTTTATTTTCCCTGAAGTGTTCTTACTCCACTTTAGAGTTCAGACAACTGTATTTATTGTATCCCAAATTCCCGATCAGTGAAAGAGAGGATACAAGGCATTACAGATTGTTTGTTGCCCAGAAATTGAGATCTCAGTTTGCAATATATTCAAAAATGTGTGCAGAAATCAAATAAAACAGCACTAACTGCACAATGTAATGAAACACGTCAAACCTTCGCCAAATATAGTTGAACATTTATGTTCGCATGAGATGCAAACGTAAATATGGAAGATTGCATTTCTTCAAATAGATGTGCTAAATAAAGGCATCAATACTAGCCAAATACCTCTACAAACACATGGGAATACTCCTTGATAGATTCTGAACAAAACTCTTCCAGTTTAATTATCACTTCAATCTGCAATGCTCCAGGATAATAACAAAAATATAAATTTCAGATGCTAATAAAAATAGAACACGTAAAGAAATCAAGAGATTAAATTTCACAATAAAACTATCCACCATTGGTGATCAAAAAACAGGTGTGAATCTTCTAATTTAACTAGCCAGATAAAAGAAGGAAAACGAGGTTCTGCAGTGCTCAAGATGTATCGTTAAGTGCTATGCATTCTTTTAGCCTTTGATTTGCAACATTACCATGTTTGGTTTGCTTGTCAACATTTTCACAGGTAACAAATACCTTCTTCTTTAGTGATATTGGCTATAATGTGATACAGGTAAACTAAGGTTTCAAAACGTTATTACTACTACTTATTCAGAAAATCTCTATTTCACACTTATATTAAATAAAACGTTTGATTTTTATATATAATTAATAAGTAATACTACAAGCATCCTAATTCCTAAACCAAGATTCTATTGAGCGGTAATAATTAAAATCATGAATCAAACAAGTCCTCAATTAAACTCCTATCCACCGACGCTTTTTTACTCTGCTCACCCCACCCTTGGTCACTCGCTAATTATTGCAATTACCCACCCCAACAATGTTTACTCAGTATTATTCAGTGTAAACTATAAAGTATCCAATACCCTCTCCCCATCACCTCATTCCATCAGATATTTCTCCATAAACCCTCAAAAAAGGAGTTTATAAAGGAACAGAAGGAGCAAAATATAACATACTCCCTACATCCCAAGAGGAGTTGCGCATTGGTAAAACATTACCCCTTTTTTGGTCAAACGATATATCCAAACATACAAAGTAGTCAGATATTCTTTACAAGACAAACCGATGTTCAACAATTGTGTATTGCGCATTCGCGGTGGTTTGCAACTTGCAAGGATTGTGTAGTGTAAGCCTCATCATGTAATGAGCCGTAAGCCTCAGTTTTGAATCCAAATATATATATATATATAACTAATATTGCAAATCACTTCACATAGTATAGTAACTACAGCTTACTTTTAACAAATTTCAGTCAAAACAAATACAAATATCAGAGCCACTTGAGCTCAAATGAGCAATCAATCGCTCAAGTCACTGAAACTCAACAATGAGCACAAAGACTTTAAGATTGGTTTGCTCTAACTAGTCGAGGAAAAAGCATAACTTGCAGAAGGGTTATTGTCCATTTGTGCACATACTAACATCACACAAAATATAAGTTACTCCTTCCGTCCCGCTATGATTGTCCCATTTTACCATTTCGGTCCGTCCCACTAAGATTGTCTCATACCTTATTTGGTAAAGTTTGTGTGGTTCTAAATCATTTCTACTTTATTCTTACTTTATCAATTCAATATCAACCACATAAACCCACTTTTATTAATAACCGTGTCACCTTCTCTTGTCCCAAACTTAGGGGGACGGAGGTAGTATTAACTACTACCTCCGTCCCGCTATGTTTGGGACAATTCGGTTTACAATGCTTGACTGGCGATAAAACAAACAGATCCCTGTCCGCACTCAAATAATTTTTAGAAAAAACAAATTACATATTCGGAAACTACATTAAAAACTTTACCAAGTTGCAAAAACCAGAATCGAATTTGGTAAAAAATTGATATATAAAGTAAGAGATTAAAAGTGATTTGTGTTGACCAAGTGAATAGTGCCTGGGACAATCTTTGCGGGACAGAGGGAGTAATAAACATTATTATAGAAAAAAATACATCTCGCAGTCTTGCAGAGAAGAAGAGGGAAGACAGAAGGAGCTCACAAATGAGGAGTCCAGAAGGGAGTAGGGAGGTGATTGTCACAGAAGAGTCGAGAAATTTTTATATGAAAAGGGGCTAATTTTTAGATTGAGCCTTACTTTTTGTAAGGTAATGATTGAGCCCTAATCAATTAACTAAACCATGAAAACTCAATTGCACACGCCTCAATCCCGGGTCATTGGGTAACCTCATCCCAAAAGGTGCGTATTTATTAATAAATCATTGAGGGCACCTCAAGTCATAATTTTATTGTGCTATATTACATACATTGAGACAGACAAACAAATAATGTATGCATTCCGAGTAATGTAGCACTACAGCTAGAAGAGTGGTAATCTCATTCCACCAGCAACATAACTAGGTTTCCGATGGCTCAGAATAGCATACAGTTTAAAATGCAAGCTTCTCAAAACTAAAATAGAAAATAAATGGAATGGTAAAAATAAAAGATAGGAGCATATACACCATTGGTGACTGAATAAAAAGGTAGGAGCATATACACTAACCTCCTCATCAATGCTAGGCAGGTAGTACTTCAAAAGCTTTTTCCATTTGTTAAATACAATCCCTGCATTTTTCACCAGTTCAACTGCAAAAAAAACAATGTTAGCAAATGCAAACATGCCACTATGCCAAGCACGTAAGAGTTAATAATTTTCTAAAGGGACGCAACTGTAGATTACTGTGAGCATTACAAATCAAAGAATATTTTCATGACCTAATGTGGTTTCTAAAAGAGTCCAGATGTTATGAGAGAAGGGATATTCAAGTGGCCTGGCAGGTCGGAATAACACCTGATAATGAACACTTCAGACATGTTAAACTCTAAGACAATATAGTACACAGCTTTTAAGACTAGTAGTAGTCGAAAAGCCAAATATACCACTAATTCGCTAACTTGGTATATGAAAAAACGAAGGCCCAAGTTGCTCATTTATTCCAAATTTAGTACTTTAAGGTTCGTTTTCATCTTCAAGATCCATAATCAGTGCACAAAATCGAAAATAAGGGAGGAAAGGGTCATATAAGCCCTTGTACTGTTGCAAAAACATCACTTAAACCCCTCTACTAAAAAAACATCACATAAACATATCAACTCATAAAAGAGTCACATTGGCCAAATTACCGAAATTTCATCCTTTTTAACCGGTCAGTTCATATACTTTTCTTTTTCTTTATTTTTCCATCTACTTTTGGTTACACTCTCTTTCTTCCTTTCATATCTCCAGCTCTCTCTTCGATCTTCTTCCACCTTCCTTATTCTTTTCATTTTTTTCCTTGTTCTTTCTTAACTTTTTCTTTCATCTTTTTTTACCACTTCGGAGACAACGAAGAGAGGTCTACAAATCCTAATCTAGCTCCAGTAAGCTGAAAATTAAAGTTACATCCTTCATGCATGCATGTCTTATACGAACGGGTACGTATTATAGTAAGAGATCAACTCATATATACAAACCCACATTGATTTGCCAAAGTCACAACTGAGCTTCCCCCGCCGTCATCATTTCTAATTTGCCCCATATTAGTTTGTTTACCACCCTCATACTCTCACAGTTTTAATTTGGAAGATATCCCCATGTCAACAGTGCACTTGTTTCATCACCATAAACATGTTTCATCTTCCTTATTTATTTGCGGCGGCGGGTAATCGCTCTTTTCTTCAATGGAGATTGTTCAATTGGTTACGGTGGCTCTTAATTATTCGGCCGGCGCCTGGCGGCAGAGTTTATCAACACTAGCACATGGTATATATATGCATGCATGGACTCTTAGATATGGATAGAATATTAAAATCAATGTGAGTCTTCTATTCTTTGTTCTCATTGATCCGCCATAAATATACAATTGCTTACGTGTTATACATACGTACATGCATATGAAAAAATGAATAATACTCCTTACAATCAGATAAGAACTACTCGTATGTGTGTGTGTGTAGCATACATTAGCTACATACAGAGTAATTAAAAAGCTTTTGATAAAAACCAATAAGTCAACAAAAAATTTCCTGCATAATAGTACTCCGAAGTATATATGACGACTACGAGTGATACACAGAGACTACTCAATAATACGGACTATAATAAACCTTGTTCAAGGAACAAAAATAGAAGAAGTGTACGTAAGAAGGGGGAACGGGAGGTAGGCAACCAGAGCCAGCGGAAGATAGATACGGAGAATTAAAAAAAAGGTAAAGAAGAAAAGAACAAAAGAAAAAAAGGGAAAAAATAAGAAGGGTAAAGAAGGCTCAAAGAAGTTCAGTGCATTCGATCGGGAGTAACTAGCTGGAAAGAAAAAAGAAAAAGAAAAAAAACAAATCTGAAAATAGTGCGAAGAAGAGATAGTTGGAGAAATGAAACGAAGAAAGAGAATCGAAAGGAGACGGAAAATAAAGAAAAAGAAAAGGAATGAACTGACCGGCTAAAAAGGGTGAAATGCCGGTAATTTGGTTAATGTGATCCTCTTTTAGAAGTTGATATGTTTATGTGATGTTTTTTTTTTACTAGATGGGTTTAAGTGATGTTTTTGCAATAGTACAAGGGCTTATATGACCCTTTTCTCAAAGTAAGGGCAATTAACAAGCATTTATAAATGCACATAAAGGGGAAATAATTACTTGACGAGCTATGTGGGGTATCCAGTGACAATTTCATCATAGAATAGAACAAGGCACCAGCACAATCTTCTGAAGCCATATTGGATGACAACCTGATGCATCAAAGAGAAAGCCAAGATAGAGCATAAGAACCACTTGCAAGTTATAAACAATCTTCAACAAAGAGTGAAATTACGTCAATGGTTTTAAAGCCTTAGTCATTGCGAGTTAGGTGCTCCATTACAGAGCGGTTGGGTGTAGAAACCTCAACTACTAGAGATACCTAAGGAAAAGTCAGGTAGACCAAGAACTAAATGGACCAAAAGTATGAAAAGAACCATAAGACAGTTAAGACTTGAAGGGCACATGGTGTATGACAAATAAATATAGAAGGAAAACATCTGATGGAATTGAAATTTGAAAGATTGTCTCCAGGGTTCATGTAGCTGAAGCATCTTTACCAAAAAGGTGTGATCAAACATAATACAATGAGAACCGATATACAGTATAAAATGCACATCCGTCTTACAAAGTTAATAAAAACATTTGTGATTTTTTACAAACAAAAGAAAAAATATCATTCTCATGGAAGATGTACTAGGTGTTATAATTAAAGTGGTAAAAAATTAATGAACACAAGTTTAGTCACATCTAATCAATGTGCACTAAGGTGGATGTGGCAAACAGTTAAATACCATGTATTTTGTTGGCTAATTGTGACATCAATTGCACAGTTACATGCTTTCTCTAAAGGTAAAACCACTGATATGATTTATAATACGTCCAACAGGCAAAGAGAGTAGCAGTAGCAGATAGAAGATAGTGCTGAGGATAGGAACAACCGAAGTATCGAACAATAGATTAAGTATGCAGATACCTAACATTTTAGCATTCAGGACACTTGAAAACAATGAACAGCTCTTAAGAGTAGTATAGGTTGCTTGTTACACATGTCCAGCCAAAACCCATTACTATGCTGTGTGTGTCACATCTAAGATGCCTTGATTTACATATCATGATCACTTGATGTTGAAATAAAACAGAAATTGAGAATAACTCTCTGAATTGAATACTTGATACAAGTCATACAACAAGCTATAGATAATGGATTAATACCGCAATGCATTCACTTCTAAAACCACATGGTCATGATTTACATTTTCCTCTACAGCCCTTCGGAATGTTGCTTCAACCTACATATAAAAAATAAGAAGATTATTCAAGGAACACACTTACTTTGGCACTCTTGCAAATGCCTACCTCTTTCTCAAAGAACATAGACTCGTTCCTGATATCTTCAGCTTCATCAATAGAACCATCAGTGTCAGAGTCAGGTTCCAGTTCTCCAGAAGTTGGAAGAGCATTTCCCTCTTGATTTGAGACATCCAGTTCATCAATAAGATTGTGTGTAATTCCAACAAGCTTATCTGCGGGAATTGGTGCAACTGAATGTTTCCAATCATCCTCAAGCTCACTCTCACTAATTGACCATATGTACCCAAAAGCACCATCACCAACCTGAGAAACTTGAATGACTGGTAAGAAAAACAAAAAAAACACCAGATACAACGTACTTTTTATAATGGCTAGGAAAAATACAAACAACAAGAAGATTTCTTTAAGTAAAACGGTGCAACTATCTACATCATGAGTGAAAAGCACTGCTTCCTTATTTTATGTAATTTGATCTGCCAACAAGATTTCCATCATATCCAACGGAGCCAAAGAATCGTTGCTCTTTTTGCTAGGGAATATGATGGAATAAAGCAAAAAGGCTCATTAAACTGTCTGTGCATCTTTGTTATGAAAGAGCAGTCAGTCCATGCAATTTTTGACGCGATTTTCATCACGCGTCATCCAAGAACAGTCTTTGTGTGCTTTAGTACAGGGGTAAGATTACGTACACCTGACCCCATTTACCCCACCGTAGGTGGGAGCCTTGTGGCACTGGGGTAAGATTGTTATTGTTGTTTGTTGATGTGCAAACAAGAAATAATCATGATGAATTGATGACTTGTCGCTATCTTTGCAGGTTCCGTTGAGATTTCATCAAAATCTATCTCATCAAGTGTAATAGATTAAATACATGCTATGCAAGAGTACAATTAACATTTGTAGGGTGAGAGAGAGAACATCTACATGTACACTAAGCTTTAATATTACATTATTCGATAACAACAACAAAAATTGATATATCCACCTGATATGTAGCACATTGTTGTGCATTCAGTGGTTCAGTGCTTGTGTCCTCATTCAGCTTGTCTGATGTACTGGAAATTGCTGCATTTGAAAGATTTGATCAAGGACTATTTACTTCGTTAGTTCGCTACTAAACACACAATAGGTTACTAATACATTTGAAGTAGACATACTACATAGGTAAAAAAACATGCATATTAAGCAAAGAGCTACTTGATGTTTTGCTTGCTAAGCACAAGAATCCATATGTACTATTTAACCAGTATTCTATGCCTTTTTACGAATACTACTATCTTACTCATTATTTTTAACATATATAGTATTTAATTCGACATGTATTCTAAACTACATGTAACTAAGTGCAAGCTGATCAAGCCGTTCTCTCAAAGCTCAAACTGATCTCGAGCCAGTTCTTTAAGCAGTTGAGCCGATCTTGAGCTCAGTTATATATATACACATATAGTTCCCAATAGCTCTATCTATATGAAAATCACAACCACAAAGTTTTTACTTTCTTATGTTTTGTTTCTAAGTAAAATTGGGCATTAACTTAGAGGCAGGGAAGGAGTATAAAATATAAAAAATATTTATGACCGGATCTCAAGCTCGAGTTTCATAATATCAGAGATCAATTTGAGCATATCAAACCAAACTTGAAAAGGCTGTTATTGGATCAGGAGCATTGAGCAGAAATTTCCTTTTACAACCATATTCATCTTTGCTGAATGTGAACTTATTTTATGCTTCATATTTATCAACACATTTTCCAGAAAAGGCTGCTATTGAATCAAGAGCAATGAGCAGAAACTTCTTTTTAAGCAGGTTTTGTCTCCTTCAGCTCAATACGCTAATATATTGCTAGCTTATTTAAAAATGAAAGAGAGAAAATCCATACGCACTCAAAAAATTTAAGTGAAACTTCTGTAATACCACTGTTGTTGTCAGCATATTCCAGCTCCTCATCACTATCTTGCTTCATGGGTTGAGGAAGCAAAGACACCTTCGAGTATGCAGGGACATGGAAATGCTCACCAACCAGAACCTGGATAAGGATTCCATAAATGATATGATCCAAAAGAAATAGCGAATTAAACTCTCACACTATGATAGTGATAAACAAATCCGCAGAGAAATCAAGCAATATGCATCAGCACTCGACGCTTAAATGATAGGCGCACAAAACTAGGGTGTTCTTAAATTACAACATTTCATGAGATGGGTTATTTGTTTCTATATGTTACGGTCTTGTTGTGATCCTTTGCTATATTAAGTTTCAACACAATCAGTTTACCCTCATCTATTATACACTCGTGCTAAAGCGGCTTAAACTCGAGGCATAGTTGTCTTTCCCTTGCAGTGTCTAAACATTACCATCAATACCATGTACTCAAGTTTATCATGATCTAGACTTTTTTTATCAAAGGTCGCATAAGATCACATCAAATAAAAGATTTATTCATTCCTCCACCCCACCCATGTATGATTTAAAATATATTTTAGATTGTTAGTAACCATGAATTGTAAAAGGAAGCTCTGCGTAAAGTTCGAGGCTTATGCCTTGTCTCACTGCTGCAAAACTCCTCAAGGCATAAAGCGGCTTGTTAAATATTGAGTCCGTTTTGCGCCCTTAAAACCTATGAGGATATTATGAATTCAGAAAGCATCATTGACCTCTCGTGGGGTTTAGCAATATATCATCTTCACTCCTATAGTCCTACACTGTTAAAGGTAGGCAGTTTGCGTAAAAAAGAAATCAAAGATGACGACTGTGTTTGACTTAACAAAGTACCAAAATGGCTTCAGTATAATAATACTATAATATGCATCACATTATCACCTATTGAAGAAAACAAAGCTCTATTCAAAATAACATTAAGTAATAAAAAGGGGTGGAAATCTGTAGGTCTGTCGGTGCCACGAGACAATAGTTGAGAAAAAAATGATATCAAACTATTTAAAACGGAATCCATATTTTGGTTGACAGAACTATGATAGGAATGTGGTTCTGCAACAATTTTTTGAGGGTATATTGCTCTGCAGATGAGTTGCATTTAATGGGTATGAAAAGTAACAAACAAGAGCGCTTACATGTTGACCATACAGAGTTAGAGTTTATAGAATCGCAAATGGGATACGGATGATAATTGCCTATCTTTAATAGCAGGAACCTAACTAATATTGTGTGAAACCTCAAGGTGATGATGCCTTTCCCTTGCAAATTTCATATCACTAACCTCAACCTAGTTTGGATTAAGGTGATGATGATGTTAAAGTGTGAAACCCAATTTTTGTAAGGAAGTACCTTGAATGATACTACAGCCCCAGGATCTAAAACTCCCATTGACTTTATTATCACTCCATCACATACAATTGCATGTTTCAATCTGCATCCATCTTCAATAGTAACATTGTTCCATATATAGCAACCATCTATTCTGACATGTGATCCAACTATACAGCCTTCACCAACAACAGAATTTGAAATTTCAGAGTTTTTTCCAATTGTAGTGTTATTCCCAATAACAGTAAAGGGGCCAATCTTTGCTGAACAAGACTGCTTCACTTCTGAAAATATTAAATTACGTATCAGAGTCAGCAATATACAAAATAAAATGGACAACATGGTATAATTTCTGCAACTATGTTCTCAATGTTGATTCTGTTCAAACACACACACATAGATGTTCTTCTATTCTCCCGTTTTCTTATTACCTACTCTTATTAATTAGATCGGACCTAAAACCTTCACCAGAAACATTCAGTCGGACACCAAATAGATTGAAAATGACTACATGTTAGATTTCCGATGATAAAGCTAAAGGTAATAAAAAAATCAGCTCAGGCTAGACCAGATTCAAACAAAAATTCGTACCATAGCACATCTTTAGGTGAAAGCAGGTCCTTGCACATGCAAACACAGACTAAAAATATCACTGAACCATTGAACATACTGGGCTGCAGTAATATAATACTACCTCCGTCCCATTTTATGAATCTCCTTTGGTTTTGGCACAATTTTTAATAAAGTGATTGAAAAGGTAAAAGTTGTGGTTGAGATTTGAGTATAGTAAAGTGGAACGTTGTAACCACGTATATCTTTCCAAAAAGGGAAAGGTGACACTTATTTTGGGACAACCCAAAAAGGAAAGTAAGACAGGTAAAATGGGACGGAGGGAGTAACTATTACTTGGCACCCAGCCAGCATGTTAATCCACCACTTCTACTAATACTGTAGACACTTTTTTCTTTCACTCTCCAATGACTAATCTTCTATTAGCAGATAACTAAATGCTTACAGACTATATTGATACAAACTAGACTGAATATTTAAGATGATAAAAGTGCAAGCACCAAAGTATTTCTTACCCGATGCTCGATATACACCCCGCCTTCCCAGTTTAGCTACAGAACTTCTGAAAAATTGGACATCAGGGACCAAGGGGTATGTCCATCTCTGAATGATATCCTTGCTAACAGTGTCATAACTTTTGAAGTTATCTATTCTAGCCGCATAACTTGATTGAATTTCATGGGTGAAGATTTTATAACCCATAATCTGAGAACCAAAATCATCAAACATACAGAGTAAGAATGAACATGGCCCAAAACAAGAAAGATAATTGGATAGGCTGATTTAAGAACATTATACAAATTTTACACGATAAAGCAAGAATAAATTATTGCAGAATTCGATTTCTTATGCACCAATTTAATTTTTACGGAGTAAAATATTCTTACATGTGCCAATCAAAAGTCAAAATTCTTTCAACAACAACAACATCCAAGCCTTAGTCCCAAAAGTCAAAATTCTTGAAGTGTTCAAAATTTATTTTAAGTAAAAACCTTGATGTGCAGGTTTGCTAAGACATAAGCATGAACTAAAGGGCGAAAGGAACATCAGTTTAGTTGTTAGATTCATTTCACAGTATTGTATTTTTCAAGGTTTGAAAAGCCATGAGCTAAAAACTAATCGGAGAAAGAAACATGGATTTATATATATTTCCGAAGTCCATAAATTCAACAACAGCATCCAAGCCTTAGTCCCAATGTTCATACATTGTACCAATATTTTTGCAATGCTGCAAATAGAGTTCATGAGTACTCAAATAAAATATCCTACTTATGCGTCACTCATATGCACCTTGAAAAGACAGTAAAAACAAAGTAAAGTCCTGATATGCATAAAATGTTTCAGTATAAATAAATGGTACGAAGATAAGTATACAAATTCAAGAGTTTCACCAAAAACAAATAGGGATGGTAGAGAATAGTCACCCTAACTTCAAACTCAACCATATATAGCATGCTTTACTCATACATACATCATCAAGAAGCAACCCCTTCACAAAATGACGACGTAGATGCTGATAGTCAAAATTGTCAGTGAAAAGACTCAAAACTTCAGGAGAGCATATATCAACATAACAATCCTGCAAAGAACGAAGAACCGCAGGAATGAGACCAACAATGATAACCTTTGATTTAACTTCGCAGAGATGCTCAGACAGAATAGGATGATGGAAGAACGGTATAAAAGTAAAACAAGTTAAACGGTGTACTAAGAATAAGATGTCTGCTATAAATTTGATTTATAAACAGTGCCACTATAAGAAATGAAAAGGAAGTTGAAATCCTGTATACCACATTACCTGTACCACTTGATAACCACTCACTTTAATGTGGCTGAAATCATGTTGGCTTTTTTGTTGTATTGATAATTAAATAATAGATATTACACGTGGTACTAGAAATGGGACATTAATACGCAAGTCACATGACTGAATAATAAAGCAGATAATTAGGGGGGGGGGGGGGGATTATGCCTCAAGAAGCATAATAATGCATGCCAAATCACACATGTGAAACTCAAGTTGGTTTAATATATTGGCCTCACATGAATTTCATGTGAGGCTTAAGGTCTTCATTTTCCAGCATCCAATGTGGGTATGCCAGCACATGCTGTAGTGTTGGCAATTTGGCATAAGCCTATGGCACATTAGGCTTGATAAAATGTCTTGATATTTGGGGGGCTAAAATACCTGTTTGTCGTTGTGAAGAGAAATAGAAGGATTATCAGTAAGAAGTTCTTTTTCAAGAGACAGGCATCCTTTTGAATCATCACACTTGTCCTCATAGTACAGAAGCTGCTTTGAATCTGGTTCAATCGCAATAAAAAGCTCCTCAGTTCCTAGCCGAGATTGGTGAGTTATTGGTGAAGGCTTTGACTGCTTAATGACCATAGTCATTACAGCTTTAGAATCCTTTAGCCGCCTCTCCTTGTGTTCCTTCAGTGCTTCTGTAAGCGACATGTTGCTGACTGTATCACCACTAACAAGGACAAAATCTCCATGTATCTACAAAAGCCCATGAAACAAAAAGACAAAAGAACTTTATGCATAGAGATTTAGGAAACATAATAACAAGGATAGACAAAAAAAGAATTGGCAAAGAAATTCATCTCGAAATTATAAGCACTATGATAAAATTTACAATGGAGCCAAAGACTCACTATTTTTTGGCTTGTGAATATGATGGAATAAAGCAAAATGACTCACTAAACTGTCTGCGCTTCTTTGTTATGAAGTAGCAGTCAGTCCAAGCAATTTTCGACGCCATTTTCACTATGGGTCATCCGGAAACAGTCTCTTTGTGCTTTAGTACAGGGGTAAGACTGCGTACATCTGACCCCCCCTTACCCCACCGTAGGTGGGAGCCTTTGCGGCACTGGGGTAATGATAATGATGATGATGATGATAAAATTTTGAAGAACCGGGGAAAAATGTTCTTTTAAAAAAAAAACTTTTCAATGAGGGAACAGGCATAAAAAACATATTAGCTTACAAAACATATCAGTGCTTCTTTAACTCTAGTTTTACTGAAGAGAGGAGACAGAGAAAGCACTGAGATAGAGCATCTCACAAGCAGCGTCCTGTAAAAGGCATGCCTGAGGTGCAGGGCATGACGCCTTTCAGGAGGAGGCATAAGATGTTACAAAGGTGCGCCTCTAGGCATAAGATGTTCCCGATCGAATTTTGAACTGAAATTTGGTATGGATGAACTAGACTTGATGAGGAACATGCTCAAAAAATTTCATCAAAAAATTCCACCGGGAACCACCCCAAGCAGTAAAGTTCGGACGGCACCTCCCGTCCCTCCAGATGGACCTGAGCATTCCTCTCTCTCTCTCTCTCTCTCTCTCTCTATATATATATATATATATATATAATTTGGATCAAATAAAAAAAGTCTTAACGTGTAAAATCAGAATTAATTAATCTCAGCCGTCCAAACTGTCGATCTGATGCACAATAACCCCTATCTGATGCACTTTCGAATAGACCTTATTTGATGCACTTTTCAAATAAGAAGCTTCTTATTTGAAAGTGCATCAGATAGAGGTTATTGTGCATCAGATCAAAGCTAGCTATCTTCCACCCAAGGATATTGTTTACAAGTTAAAGTTCTAAATTCACAAAGATGCACAATATACTACAGTATAAACTTGGGTTCCACTATGCAACTCAAAGATAAATTTTCGGCATATGCAACGCCAAGGAAACACTGAACAGTGCTCCATATTTTAGGGAATATTTCCACGGTAGGAGTAAAAAGTAAAAACAATGTGAAATTCCAAAATAGGAGAAAATTACAGCCATCTTGAAACAATACTACCATATTTTGGCATCATTAGGCATTCATTAGCCATAATTGGCAGTAATTTCCTAGCATAACAGTAATTATTCCTAATTAGGGAAAACAAACATAATACTCCTGTTTTGGAATTTCAAATTGTTTTTAATAGCAATTTCCGCATATTTGTTACGTAGTACAAAATATTTAATTGCATTTTATTATATTGGATGAAGGAACATGAACTGTGAAGCTCTATCATCAGATATATCCTCTCACTTTTCTAACTTTCCTATAATAACTTCAATTATTAACATCCAAAGGCTATAAAAAAAACAAAAAGGATAGAGCATCAATCTATCATATAATATGCTATCATAGAGCATAAAAGAAATATCATGCATTTCCATAGAAACAAAATCAAGCATGATTGAAACAATAACAGTAAAATGTAAAGGAATGCATGTGAACTGCTGTTAAGTACTAGACTACTACACATTTAGGAATGAAATGGATTTTGTGGGAATAAAAAAAAAAGATGATGCATTAACATACCACGTTCTGGTCATATACCAAACGCAAAGCATCTCCAGCACTGATAGCATTGTGTGATTCTATAGGGGTGACAACAAAGTTCGGCTGCTCAAACCACTTGGAGTTCTCCAGATGATCTATCACTTGCTTGGAATGAGCACAGCAAAAAACAAACACCTCCTCAACCCCAGCAGACTCCAGCCAGGCCAAGGTATAATCAATCATAGGGACATTAACCAACGGCAGTAGCACCTTCAACCAAATTTCAATCGCAAAGATGAAAGCACGAGAGTCAAGACTACAGCAATACATTATATTTAGTAATTACTCAGAAAAAACTGAATTTTTACGAGAGACAGAATCTACTTTAGGTCTCTCAAGAGTGATTGGACGGAACTTTGTGGTGAAACTGTCCGCCAATAAGATGGCCTGCAAGGGAATGCGCGCAAGATCCTCCTCCCCGTCGTCAGCTCCAACTCGACCCCCGCCCTTCCTTCCCACCATTTTTGCAGGAAAAAGAGTCGCCTGGAGATAGCGGAACCTTTGCTCTTTGAACCCCTGGCTAACTTGTAAATTGCTGCGAAGAAGACGCCGGAAGTCTTCTTTCGTTGTGAAGACATACCGTTGTCCTTTTAGTTTTGGGCCGATTAACCTTTGGGCTGAAGAATTAATAATGATAAAGTTATACTGCCGGACCCGTTACTGTTATTAGTTGATACGGAGTAATATAAGCTGGGATAATATTAATTTAATAAATTTCTCCAAAAGAAATTTAATTTAATAATAATAATATTATTAGAATATGATGATTAGGGACAAGTACAATGGGGGAGAGTGGGGGTATATATAGCTACATACATGGGCCTGATCAAGTACTCATGGGCTAGGGATAGGGGAGAAGTGTATATTTATACATTACATAACAATCCCCCTTAAATATACACTACTAAAAAATACGCTTAAGAGATGTTGCCTCATTAAAAACCTTGAAATACCTAAATGGTTCACATATATCGCCTTGAATACATTCCAAAAAGGAAAGTGATTCCATTCTAATTTTAGCCGGTGAGGGTCTAGTAATTAATTTTCCTTGAGAGCAATCAACACAAGATAACTCATTAGTTTGAAGAATCTTCTGATTCTTGAGTGGATGTCCACATGAGTTATTAATGACAAAATGTTTTTTAGTGTCATTATTTAAAAAGTAATCACATCAAAAGTTATCACATTATTTTTACATGCACTTATTTTAATTACAAAACAGAACAAATTTAAACAGATAAAGTTAGACTTCAACCGTTATAATTAACTTTGACATAGATCAGCTAGAAATTTCCAATTAAATTAAAAACACTCACAGACTAGTTCAGATTTTAGGTGTTTGTTGGAGTATTGTCGTGACACAAAATATTCTCAAGAATAATATCCGAAGGAGAGTTAGGAATGGGATTGAGGTTCAGGTTTGGGTTGATGTGTGGCTTCCGGGAGAGGGGGAGGGTCGGGTCTCATCAGCCAGACCGACTGGAATTAGAGATATGAATGTTGCTGCCCTGCATGATATAACTGGGAAGAAATGGAATAGGGAGAGAATTTCTAACATTTTTAATGTAGAGGACAGGCGGAAGATTTTGAGCATACCCATTAGTTCCTATGATAGAAGGGATGGGTACTGGTGGAACGGTGAGAATAGTGGGAAGTTCTCTGTGAAGAGTTGTTACCGTTTGCTTACAGGAGAGCTGCAGACCAGGAACGAGACTGATTGGGCTCGATTATGGGATTTGCATATCCCACCGAAACTAAAATATTTTGCCTGACAGGATATTGATGGTTCTCTTCCAACAGTTGCTAATTTGAGGAAAAGAGGTGTGCAGGTTCTAAAAGGGTGTAAAGTGTGTGGTGGAGTGGTGGAGGATACAGATCATGTTTTCGGATTTGTGAAAGAGCAAAAGAGGTCTGGAGAAAGGTGGGGGTGGATCTGGGCAGTCCAGCAGAGTCGGTAAATAATGTGTGGTTCTGACGGCATCTCGGTGGACCTAACAGGGAAGACCGATGCAGGTTTATAGCTATTTTTATGGAGTCTATGGAAGAGGAGAAATGGATGTGTATGGAAGGACAAATGGCAAGGAGCGGCGGGTGTTATCAACTCAGCGGCAGGAATTATCTCGGGATGGAGAGATGCGCAAGGCTCTGAGAGTACAGATCGGGCTAGGAGAGAAAATAATTCCTTGACAGCTTGGAAGCGTCCGCGAGAGAGTGTTGTAAAAATTAATGTGGATGGGGCGGTGGATGAAAGTACACATACTAGGGCCTGAGGATGGGTGGCACGAGACCATTATTTCAATTTCTTGAAGGCGAAAGGGGTCTCCGAAGCAGCTAGCTGGTCAGTGGTGGAAACAGAAGCTATGGGTGTTCGGGATGCGTTGATGGGAGCGGTTGCGGCAGGCTGTTCGCATGTAGAGGTGGAAACTGATGCTCTCTCAGTGGTCCATGCCTTAAAAGTTGAAGGAGGTTCTTCTTACCTTTTCCTTATTCTCGATGATATTAGGCATTTGCTGCAAGATAAGAGTAATTTTAGTGTCTCTTATTGTAAACGATACGTGAATCGTGTTGCCCATGCTTTAGCAAGAGCACACGTGTCTATCTCGGATCAGTTCTGTTGGTATGATAGTATTCCTGATTCTATTGTAAGCTTGTTGGCACATGATTTGGTGAATTAATATATCTGTCAGTTGGAGTTCGAAAAAAAGGTGTTAGTTGGATGACCATAATATGAGTCAAATTGTCATCATCTATAATATTAAACTTTCATCTATAAATTTTATGTTATTTTTGTTTACATCTATAAATTTTATAATATTTTTGTTTATCTATAAATTTTTCATCATTAAATGTTTCTAAATTGTCATAAACACATTCTTGCCAGATTTTTGGCATCAAATTTTGACACTCAAAATTTAAGTGACAAATTTAATATTATCGTCACAATAGATATCAATTAATGACGAAATGTAAGAGTTAAAATGACCAAAAATAATATTGTCATAATAAATCATTTTACATTGACAAACTTGAGTTTTGTCACTATAACTCAATATAATATGACATTTTTTCGTGTGTCACACAATTTTTTGTCATAAAATGTGGAATTTCTTGTAACTTTAGACAATGTATCATTACTCTAGCCTTGTGCAAGGATTGTTTTATTTTAACTCATTATTGTGCACTAAATTGTTAGTTAAACTTGTTTAACATTTGTGCAAGAACTGAAAAATAGTTTGCGTTATATTGTTAGATTGATTAAGTGAACAACTACAAAATTGTGCTATAGTAGTTGATGATACTGTTAGTGGTGTGATTATCGTATAAATGAGGCCATATTGCAATTTTTTTAGAAATTTCACACCGGTTGTTAAAGTACGTGACGTAACCGATGTGAAAAAACCTATTATGCGGAAAAATTGAAGTTTTTCTACATCGTTTGTATAACCGATGAGAAAAGCCTTTTTTAACCGTTGTGAAAAGCCTTTTTTATACTAGTGGTTAGCTTTGTGATCTTGTCTTGTGATTAAGTTATTTTGACATATAAGAAAGATTCATTTTTAACTGTTTCATTAGGACTTTAAAATTGTGTTCTAATCTTCCTTCAAGCTCCTTGAGAAGATTGATAGAATTAGATGCAAAACATAATGAATTATGAAAAAAATTGTATTTTAAAATGTCTTTTACAAATAAAATAAAGAAGAAAAAATATGAAAAAGTAGTTAAAATGGTCATCTATTGTACGTAACTTGAGTCAATTATGACAGAAAAATAACTACAACCTTACTTATATTTATTATTATACCATCCAAAGTAAACAACAAGGTCAATGGGCATGAAGCAAGAGCAGAAATTTCATGGCTATGGCTTCAATGTTACAATTGTTAGTCGTTACCAATAAATTAGTGGAAAACACCTTTTCTGACTAACAAATTAGATCAGCGATCGATTGATTTAATATGAAAGGATTTCATATGGAGAAATAGATAAACACAAAAAAAAGTAGATAGACTTGTCTACTCGAAGTTTTATTGGTTAAGGAGGTGATATTGGATTGGGCGACCACTTTCCGATTCCACCTAACACTGGTTGTAACCTAGTTCTGACGTTGAACAATTATGGAATCGGACTATACACGGACAGTCCGAGATTTACGATTGAATTCCGATCCTGATCTGGCATGCTTGGGGAAGACAAACCGAAATGGCGACGATGGGGAACGCTCGAGTACCAGACAGGGGAATAGAGGCGTACATGATTTTTTTTGTAATCTAGGCCTCTGGGGATCAATATGGAATTTTCAAATTTTTTAATAAGATGACTGACGACGTGGTTATTATTGCCAATGAGTTTTAGACACATGGATGATGCGCCAAAACATCCCCCAACAGTGGTGTACCGAAGAGCTACCCGATCTATAATAGGTGACGTGACAAAATTGGATGACATTACAAAATTTGCCTTCATTTGAGAAATAAGTTTAAAAGTACCTTCATTTGGGAAATAAGATTTCAAATTACCCCTATTTGGGAAAAACTCTCCTCATATAAATAATAATACACGGAGTAATTAATAACACTTCATGGCTTAACTTTTAAGTTATTCGGACATTTCCTTATCTTTACAATCTTATAATGGTGAATGAGAGTAAGGTCAAATAAGGTGTAAAAAATGTGTTGATGTAATCTTATGTTTTAACGGGTCGTGCATTAAGCTCCGTATTCTCCGTCTTCTAACGTATGGCTACGCAACATCCGCCGTTCGCGTACATATTAAAACACAGTGGATACTAGCCAGAGGACAAATCTGTTTTTTCGTACCCTTCCCATCCATCAAGGTCAGGTCAACACCAAACCGGAGTTCACTTTCATTGGAGTATGATGCAGCCATGGTGGCGCTTACGTTGCGACCTTCATCTACAATAACCTTCTCACTAACTTATCCAAGAATGTCCTCTTTTACTTATTCATTTATTTATCTATTCATTAATTTCTAGGCGATCTATTTATCTATTTATTCATGTCCTCTTGTACTACCTAAACGTTTTTTATGATTGATTGATTTTTTTCGAGGGCAGGGACTGCGAGAGTAGAAGGAACACCATTATGCCAAGACAGAAAGAGTTATATCAATTGGTGAGAAGGGCATTTGAGAGAGAAACGGGTCATCTTGTGTTGTGGGATTTGATCTGGAATTTGACATTAGTGGTTGCTAACTTTGGGAATTCTGGGGTTGTAGCACACCTCTTAACAAAACATTAAAGGAAATCTATGTCAATCATTATGAACACAATTCCTCTTCTATTACGGTAAGGAGATAATTGAATTGAAGTTTCTCCATACTGAAGTTTCACAATTCCTGGCTAGACTTTTTTTAAATTATTATTTATTCATTTATACTGATACATAACACTTATTTAATTTATTCACTTATTTTTTTGTGCATGCTCTTAAATGCTCTCTCCCATGTCCTCTATAACAGAGAAATGCCTTCATGGTGCAATTTTGGATATCCAACCTATCTTTAGAAGTTCAGGGGCTTGTTGTTTGTCCATTATAGTTTGACAGAGATTACTCA